GGCAGTTATCGAGGCAGATGGTTGGTATACGAAATATTAGAATGGAATCAATCTCCTTCCTAATTAGGTTTAGCTAATAGTAGGCGGTAAGGTAAGGTGGTCGAATACTTTTTGCATCCCACTGTAACAACATCCAGAGGCTGTGTAATTCGTGGATCTTCCATCTTGGCAGCGTCGAATTTCAAGCAATCAGGCATCCCCTATTTGATTCCCAGAACTCCGTCGCTTGGCTTTCTGGATGATTCTGCCACTAGTTGCAGATCATTACCGTATTCTCCACACACGCACAAGCTTGTCGGAGATAGACACGCATCCTTTTCTTGGCAAGCTGGCAGAGCGGATCACATCCGAGGCCTGAAGTCTCTGAGCGATGTCCGGGTCGAAGATGTGATATGACTGAATTGCTGATTCAGTGTGCTGGATGAACGTTGAACGTGCCTTGGGATGACGAGTCGATCGAGGTAGGCCCTAGGATCAAGGCATGTGTCTCTAGTCGCTGTAACGCCAAGATGATCATAACCATCCATAACTCTTCTTGCCAAGAATCTCCGTTTTGTACTATATTCCAATGTGGTTTCGGTTGTGAGTATCACTCAAGAATACGGAGTAGGCTAATTTGATGCTCGAGGGGGAAAGTCATGAATGGTCACCGCGTGTTTCGCTCCGTGCCCAATTGGCCATAGTACCATGTCACGAGCTTTTCTAGCTTCACCATCTTGCAGACCTTCACTTATCTGGATTGCCATTCATGCTATTTCTGTTGGCTTGCTCTCACACTCAAAGAGGTAAATGAATATCTCTTGGCGCCATGGTGAGATGTTAGAGGCATCAAGCAGATCACAATGGTTCACTGACCATCATTAGTCAGGCAACCCGACAAGTACAGGATACTGGGTATCTAACTCAACGCATGATTCCCATCTAATCAGACTATCGGTTACTATCTCGTGCCCATTCAAGTCAGGCCCTATTCAGCAAGAGTGCGCCGGTAGAGGTGCATGAGTATATGAGCCCCTCATCGCCCACAGGCCAGCAGCTCTGATTAGCTACCGGGTGATTGACTGTAGTTGTCTTGCTGGAGCGGCAGCTATGGGTCAACAAGCCAAACCAATCCCTGTCCATAATTCTGGATTAGTCCCAAATGACGAGAAATATCTCCTGGCTGTTTCAGAGAACCATGAACTTACGCAGTGGGCGCAGCTAACGACAGAAAGTAAGAGGCGGCGCCGGAAAGGTAGGAGAGGATCTATTCAGTCATTTGATTCCAGCTGGAATATTGATGAAGATTGAATCGGGGCTTAGTCCCTTGGGCGATTGGGAAGACGAGTCTTAATCGCCAAATAGTGCCCAGGATGGAGGAACTGGCTGCCTCTCTCAGCATCTAGGGCAGAGCTCAAGAAATACAAGGTAGCTATAGCTACCCTGAACATAGATCGCAGCCGTTCCAATGACCCATCTGGGATGAAGATTTCCCGCTGAGAAACTTCGCTCTGCCTATGAGATGAGATGCAATGCTTTGCTTGAAAGCCTTGCATCCCGGCCGGAACCATTAATGATATCAACAACTGTCACGTCTGCCAGCACAATGACGGAACGCTCAGAAGTCTCCTCCACTGACTCAGACACTGAAACTCAAGCCATCTCAGCGATGCTATGGCGTCCAAACCATCGTGATAGTCTTGAGAATCACCGCGTAGTCATTCCTGTGGTGTATCCTGATCTCCTGGTGGGTTGGGGAGATCGAGTTCCCACGGAAGAAAGTCCTTCAGACGATGGGGTCAGGATCTGGATACAGTCGCGATCGTTATTGCCTTCCATGTCGGAAACATTGAGATGCTCTTTCAAACCTTAGTCACTACTTAGTGTGACACCAGTCCAAGTATTAGAATTAGATCAGGGCCAACCCTACCAGATACTGCCAGCATACACTCAAGATAGTATCCTTTTGTCTCATATTTTCAAAGGTTCAACTGATGCGGTGTTCTTTGAATTGTTCATTGGGCAGCCTCCAGTACTGTAGGAGGTGGCCAGAGCCAAAATCCATGCTTGTTATGGATAATGCATCTTTCCATCATTTGGACCGAGTCAAGCAGTTATATTCTAATGAGGGAGTTGAATTACTGTATTTGCCGCCTTACTCTCCTGATTTCAACCCTATTAAGGAGTTCTTTGCTGAGTTGAAGGTTTACATCAAGTAAGCTTGGTCAGCATATGGAGAGGATCCTGACCAAGGGTTTCATGCCTTCCTCTAAAAGTGCGTTCATGATGTTAGTGCAAAACAGGAGAGCGCCAAAGGACATTTCCAACATGCAGGTATAGCGATGGAGCTGATATGAGTGTCCGCCATACTCTAAAGCTATGTATGAGTCATGACAACTGCCAGCACGAGTTACGTTGCCTTATAACCCCTCCTATGATCTAACTCTGCCATCTCATACAAATATAATTCTTGCTACTCTAGCAAGTGTTTATAAAGAGCTTCACATATAACTAGAGTGATAATATGCGGATGGCCACTAGGTTCTAGGGGTGCTTGGACATTGAACAGTCAGGATATTTATATAAACAGTTATAATCAAGCGCTTGCTGCAGCCGGCTGCATTGACCATCTGGGATATAATCAGTAATCTGCTGCTAATCATATCAGGGATCTTTATAAGCTGTGAGGGTGCAAGTCAGGGGTGCCATAATGGTCTTCATGACGCCTTTGGCATAAGAAGTTCTTAAGGTAGTGAGAATAGCGGGGGCGGCAGGCTTGGATTTACAGTCGGTTCGGGCCGACACTTGTTAATGTTAAGAATCCCATAACTTTTCTAAACTCTCTTCCGTTCAAGGTAAAACTGCTACACCATTCGCCGCTAAAATACCTAGGGCAGCAGTCACTTAAGCGACGCTTACTCCACCCATATGTTCCCCTTGGCCAGTAAGGGCCGTAAGGGCCGTCAGCGCATAAAAAGGACGATGGTCTAGGGCCTATGTACTTATATTAAACCACCAGCCCCCACCTTGGTACGACTCCGACTTCTTTCATTTTCCTCAGTCAAACATCATGTCATCTGTTAGCAGTGTTCTCATACGCCGGGGCACCGAGTTGATTTCCGCTCGGCTTCGATACCGTGAACAGTCTCAAATGCATGATTGGCTAGGCCTCTCAATCGTCATTTTTACGGCCCTTGCATTTGGTCTGGCAATCTTTTGGGTGAGTCGGTGTTCGTATTAGGAACAGCAACTATCTAAACTCATCGATAGGTTGACTACACCTGCACGCATGTTATTGCGACTCTGGCCGCGGTCGAAGACTCCAACCCAAAGACCTATGTCCGCCTCGACAGCGAAGATCCTAACGATTCCTTCGACCCTACTGATACCGAGGTCGCAGCTGCATCGACCCCTAAGCCTATCACTAGCGGGCTACGCTCGACCATCAAGCACCTACGCGCCCGTGGTGGCATCTGGTCGTGCTTCCGTGGATTCCGTATGTATCTGGCCTTCACAGGGTTCGACATGGGCGTGGGGTTTCTAGTTCGAGCTATTGTCCCTATTCCGATCGACTCTCACTCTCTCGCCGGTTCATTTTTCGGTTCATTTTTCGGGGAGTTCGTCGCCAGCATGCTCCTGGCCACCTGGCAGATGGCTTGGGTCCATCTTGTGATCGCCGACAAATCTCCAAGGAGCTCCTACCGGCGAATGCTTGGCCTCCGGCACTGGCCTAGAATCGCCCCTGCGGCTGCTCTGTACAATTTCCTAACGTGTGCGACTTTCTCTCTGCCTACAGCTGCCGCAGGGCCCGCTGGCTGGGCCGTCATGGCCGTCGTCACCAATCGGGGGTATAAAGGGCTTCTCGGTTTCCTAGCCATTAGCATCCTCCCGGCTGTATTCTTCCTGTTGGTTTCCGTTCCCGCCAGGGGAATATTCACCCGCGTGGCTGCCTCGATGCTGCCCGAGGAGGACGACCCGATCGTGCCCTTCGACCGCCTGTTTGGCGGCAAGGTGAAACCCGAAGTTGTGGGTGGTAGCGGCAAGCTCGGCCTCAGAGATGCCTGGACCACCTTTGATTGGGCTGCTCGCGCTCGGTATGTTAAGGTCATCCTGAAGGCTCTTGCCATTGAGGTTGCACTAGGTGTGGTTGGGATCCTTCTAATAATAGGGGAGTTGACTTTGGTGACCCCTACTAGCCAGAGCTCGGCTTCCCACTCTTAGTTCTTATTTAGATTTGCGATTGCATCTGCATGATAATGGAGCATTCCTAGTATGCACTGCATACCTACTCTAAGCCCGTTCACCAGAACAGACATGTCTTCCACAATGCTATGATATACCCTAGCTGGCGTCAATATCGGACGGTCAGAAATACCAAGCTATTTACATTGACCAATAATACCACAGCTTGATAAATGCATCATTCAGGAATGAGAGGAGGCAGAAGAGTAACATGAAATATTACACCAGCCTACAATATCAATGGGCCAAGAAAAGACAAGGCAAACCAAAGCAAAAACAAAGTAACTCAAGGACCGTCAGGTCAACCAACACCCAACCAAGTTAGAAAGGCAAGTTTAGCTTGCCCTGTCCAAATGCGCCCTCTACTAAGGATTCTCCCTCTGCCTGATATCATCGACGATTCTTCGCTCGTCTTCAGCCCCCATACATTCATATTTAGAACCTTGTTTTGGCTGCAAGCCTTTAAGTTTCCTAGGCTTTCATCGGTGGGATAGCTCCGGAGGTTGTTTATTCATTAATGATCTACAGCAGATGGAGTTGCCTGTAAAGCTTAAAATTGAAGACAGATCTACAGCTATAGCTTCTATAGATATCTCGTAACATTCATATAGTATCACAAAATGTCTGGTATTAAAACCAGGTAGATACAAAACAGGTTATATAAGCCCTATCTAAATCAAGTATAGTGACGCATGTGATTAGGGTTTGAAAGAGCGTCTCTATGCATCTGACATGGAAGGTTTAACGGCCACTCCTGTACACAGGACTTTCCGAGGTGCGAACTTCGGAGATGCCCTGCGTGCAGTCAATATAGTTGACACTGGGTAGCTGTAGTGCAAAACTTGGAGAAAGTGTTCGTTCCATTGGCACCTACATCGTACTGATTATCAGCAAAGCAGGTAGAAAAATCTTCTGGCGCCATGACAGGCTTTTCTGATGAGCTATTCAATGCAATAGAAGCACATGACTTGATTCAATGGTTTCCCATTTCTTTTTTTCATTATTTTTTTGGATGCCTAAGATACCACCACAATTAAAAGAGATATTAGAGTCTCATTCCTCTGTAGACATTGAGCATTATTGTAACATGAAGCGTAACCATGGGTATCCGTGACGTCCGGTAAGTTAAAAAAAAAATCACATGAAAGTCTCAGAGCCCCTCAGAGACGGAGTATTGGCATCGCCAAGATCATCTAGACCTCCTGGTGGACAACCTCACCAGTCTTCTCAGCCATATCCTTGTCAGTGAGACCCATCTCAGCGGCGAAGGTGCCGTGGGGCTTCCACTTGGCAGAGGTACGGGGAGTGGTCTCCTCCATCATCTTGTCGACCTGCTCGAGAGTGAGACCCTTGGTCTCGGGGACGAGGAAGTAGGTGTAGACAAAGGCGCAGGCGCAGAGGGATCCCCAGATGAAGAAGACCTTGGCCTTGAGGTTACCCTTGTCGGTGTCAACCATGTAGGGGGTGATGACAGCAATGATCTATGGAGGTCGAGTCAGCACGGTAGCCTTTGCGTTTGTGTCAAGCAAGCAGGAAACTTACGCAGTTCCAGAGCCAGTTGGAGGCGGTGGACAGAGCAACACCACGGGAACGGATGGGCAGAGGATAGATCTCGCCGATGACGACCCAGGCACCAGGACCCCAGGTGCTGGCGAAGAAGAAGATGTAGATGCAGATGAAGGAGATTTCGGCGCTGACAGCGCTCTTGTTGCCGCCGTCAACAGTTCCGACGATGGCGACGATGTACTGGCAGATAACCATGCCAAGAGCACCCCAGAGGAGCAGAGTACGACGGCCGAGCTTCTCCATGGTGTAGAAAGAGATGGGAGTGGAGCAGACGTTGACGATGGTGGTGATCATGCTGATCAGGAAGGGGTTGCTGATGGTTCCCAAGCTCTTGAAGAAGGTGGTACCGAAGTAGAAGACGAAGTTGACACCAGTCCACCTGTAGCGGTCGTTAGCATCGCATGTCAGTGAGCGACGAAGCAAGAAGGGGAAACGTACTGTTGCATCATCTGCAGAGAAGTACCCAGGATGGTACGACGGAGGTTGCTGTTGGGGTTCCAGAGGCTTCCCCGGAAGCAGTTGAACCAGCTGCCGAAGTAGCCGCTCTGGGGAATGGCCTGCATCTCGTACTCGTGGTTGGCGACAATCTCAGCCAATTCGGAGCGGATGTACTCGGAATCGCGGGGCTGGCCACGGACACGGGCAAGAGCCTCGGCGGCCCTGGTAAGATCGCCCTTCTTGACGAAGTAACGAGGGGACTCGGGCAGCAAAAGGAGACCAGTACCAAGGATGAGAGCCCAGGCGATCTGGATACCGATGGGGATACGGTAGGAGCCAGAGTCAGTGCGGTTCTGGGTGGCATAGTCGACGCAGGAAGCCAGCATCAGACCAATGGTGATGCAGAACTGGTAGCCAGAGACGATGGCACCACGGACCTTGCGGGGCGCGATCTCGGACATGTACAGGATAATGATGGCGGAAACGAAACCGACACCAAAACCAGCGATCAGACGACCGACCACGAGCAGAGCAGTGGTAGCGGAGGCAGTCTGGAGGACGACACCGACAATGAAGATAGCGCAACCGCCGACAATGGTAGTACGACGACCAAACCAATCGGACAAGTCACCAGCGATCAGAGCACCGAAGAAAGTACCAGCAGAGAGGATGGAAGTGATCAGAGACTTCTTCCAGGAAGGAATGACGAAAAGATCGGTGGGAGTGGTGGCCTTGTCCTGTAGAGTAGGAGTTTCACCGGTCAGCGACAATGCCATGCATGATAGTCTTGTGGAGGCTACTAACCAGGCCCTCGAACTCAGTGATGAAATAATCCATGGCCATAACACCGGAAATGTAACCTGAATCATAACCGAAGAAGATACCACCGAAGGCCGCGAAGGCACACATCATGTAGGTCTTCCAGGTCACAGGCGCCTCGACGCGCGAGGTATCGGCGACAGCGTCCGCCATGGCGATAGATGACAGGTGATCAACTGCGAGGGTAAAGTGGTGAGAGGGAAGATATGAGAGTGGATAGGGGGTGTTGATCACTACGCGGCTCAAAAGGGGAAGGATGGAGGGAAGAAGAGAAAAGAGATATGATCAGCGTGACAAGAAGAAGGTCGGACAACCTGGGGGAGAACGGCTGATTTTATAGACCTGGAAGAGGAGAAACCTGGAGATGCCGCACTCGCACTTTCTCTCACTTTTCTCTTGCCCTCAGTCAGTCGGCCCCATCCCATGCCGGTCCGGGGAATTGACCACGGGGGACTCATATTGCCATCGGCTCTAGCGCGGTTTTTTTTTTCTTTTTGTCATGAGGTTCTACTGGATTGCTTAGTCTTGTCTAGTCTGGCTGTCTGGGGATTTGGGGACAAAGCTGGAGACATGGAGGAGAACAAAAAAGACCGCCAGACTGGATTGGGATGCACTAAGAACGAGTGGGACCTTGGACCAATCATTGCAGATGGTTAGACTTTGCCAGTCGGCCTCAGATCGCGGGATCTGGTATGGTAAGAGTCGACCTCTGGTTGCGACGCTGTACCACTTGGGAGCCAGGGCAGAGTGGCGCATGGTAGATACAGTACACATTCACAGTCACAACCCCGGATGAATCCTGATCGAGTTGGTCGACCACCAAAGTCCGGCCGTGCTCGCAAAAGCTAAACCTTCCTGAGACAAGTAACTTGCTTAGACCTCTCTTCTGGGATTTCTCATTGGTAATGGATTTGTGGCGCGGCCAACCCCGGAAGTTCTGGCCAAACAGATGCTCGGGTCTAGGCCGGCCGTGTTGTCGGGCTGACTAGTTCTGGCACACTCTCGAAGGTGTAGCCAGTAGCTACGCGCTTCCAGAGACGCTAACCCCGGCGACGGTTCCTTCTCCGGCCTAATTTCCGTGTCGTGTGTTCTCATTGGCCGTTCTCACAGGGGCCGGAAAAACCAGCCTACCACGTGCATGAAAGCGGGGGGACCGCTCCACATGGTCTGCAGCAGACCACATTCTGTCAAACTTTGCTGGTCAATACAGTATCAATACAGATAGCACGGCGTCTGTTCCTAGGTACCTAGGTACTCCTTACAAAGAATTCCGTGGCTGTTTTTGGATTGCCTTGATGGATGGATAAGGAGTTGAGTACTGTTGTTGATTGATGATTCATCTCAAGTTCGATTGGAATCTAATCAAATAGTCAACCTGCTAAAGACAGACGACCGCCCTAAGTCCAAGCGAGTGTCACAGCGCCCATTGTAGAAGTCATTTCCTGGGTCGGCAAAGCCTAACTTTTCACAATGTAACCCTGTAACCTGGAACCAGGTTCTCTTGAATCTCATTAGCCATGATAGTAGATTGCTTCACAGCACACCAAGCCAGACAGTGCAGGACACAGACATGCCGAGCGCCACCTCGACTGTAAATTACCGTTGCACGCGCTGCTGACCATCAACTTGGACTTACGGCCGGACATGGAGTATGTTAAAGGAATAGCGGGCCACTCTAAAGATTGCCTGTCTGTTCTTCTCACCATTATTATTATCTAAGTGTTATCTACACTCCTGTTGACTGTTGATGTTGACACCTGAAGAGACGGAGCCGAGGGTTCTCCTTCGGCTCTCACCGAGTCAACGAGTCTATGATCACTTGATGCCGACCCGTGATGCGTCCGAGAACAGTCCCGCTAGATTTTTTTTAGTTCTGATTTTAGGCCATTGCCACTGACATTACAGACTTTTCAGTCGACGCGAAGAAGCTGAGAATGAGGAGCAAAGAATGGAAGTGGCTTGCTGGTTCGCTGGTTGTGTGTTGTGTAGGCTGACGGGCTGGCGAGCCAAGAGTCTTGGTGCGCCATGGCCTTGTAACGTTGTAACAATGTTTCATCCGGTCTGAACCTAATAATACCTAGGGGAACAAGTCATATTACATGAAGTCAGACATTTGAGCCAGCACTCAACAGTGGATGGGGAATCCAGAAGGTAAATTCAGGCAATCAGCAGGAAGTTTCCATGCAAACACCTTAGGTAGGTGCCTACCTAGGTACTTAGACAGTGTTACACACGGGAAAACAGAGTTTGTTACCACGTGCAAAACCATGGGATGACAGACAGGAACAAACGAAGCTTTTCCACTTGTCTTGCTGTCTCGACCGATGCGCCAATCCCCTCTCTTCAGAAGCTTGGTTGGGCCTCTTGGTCTTCGGTTCTCATTTCCATTGATTCATCCTCCAAGTCTGTGACCTGTCGTCCTCGCTTCTGTCAAGTTTCCACTTCCCACACTCCATGTCATGCCGTCTCTCCATGCGGGGATCCCCGGACAGCCTCCCCAGGTTCACTTTCCAGTTTCCTCCCGGTGAGAATTTCGAGTTAGCAACTGGATGCATCCCGGCTTTTCGGGTTTCTCATCGGAAGAACTTGTTCAGACAACATCCTCCGTAGTTCGCTAGCGATTCAAGTACGGGGAATAATAGAGTTTGGACTCCCACACTGTACGTGGGGAAGAGGACTCTTGCCGAAGATTAAGCGAAGCCCCTTGGTTTTCCATCTATCTGAGACTGGCAACATCGGAGGATGGCTTCTCCCTGCCGTCATTTGCATGTAGATACTGGTAGGATCCTTCTTTCAATTTGACTTTCCTTTCTCCGGATCTTATTTGCGCAGGATCAATACGTGAATTAGGCTATTCTCTAGAACTTTGACAGCCATCTGTTACCACATACGGAGTACATTCAGGTACGTATCCTCTCGATCTTCCATCGGCAGCAAAAGGTTCGACTATGGTTCTGGACTGGATCATCTTACGAAATCATTACCAACAAAAAGGGCCAAGGAAATTGCGTCTGCCCCAGACTGTTCTCCAATGTTCCAATCATACGATGGTACCACCAGTCCTTGGCCGCTTGGCCTCGGGGCGATGGGGTAAGAATCAATGGCCAAACTCTGACCGTCGACTTGTTCCCGCTAAAACTCCGCAATCCGCATAATCCTTCGCCCGCTCCAAACGTCCAAATACAAAGTCTCGGGTCGGCCAGTTTACGGTCGAGCTCGCCCGTTAAATCGCCGTTAGCTTGCCGACCCGGCCTTGTCACCAATCGTTGAGGAGAGAACGGCACCGACGATTGCCCAGTGGTGGGCTGTCCTCTGATAGATAGATGTAGCTGAACCTAAGCGAGCAATTTAATATAGCCCCAATCACCCATGGCTCTTGCACAGTCACCTTGTGCGTCAAGCTCGAGACGATACCTGCCATCGGCTTCTCTACGGGCTACTAGGTTTCGAATGTGACCCCTGGGCCCTAAGGTGCCGAGCACGGCAGCCTCTGCAGCCGATACCAAGAAGCCAAGTAGGATCCTGAAGCTGGTTCGTAACGCCCACGGAAAGGATGATTGGCCGGACAGACTCCTTTGGACGCCATGTCCCACATTTTCGAATCTTCGAATCAGTCAAGGTTTTTCAGGATGGCATCAAGGCACGTGATTCTGCTGTGGATGCTGAGAATGAGATGGAAGAGCCAGGTCATCGAACCATGCGGAATATCATTTATGAGGCGCTTGGAAGCAGCTCGAAGCCTCTGGCTGCACAGCAGGTGATGCCAATGCCGACTGGACAAGTCACTTGCATCAGATCATTGTGTCTGATATTTCAGGGATCTATCAGGCATTCAAGCCTACTGGTAGTCAACACCATCTACCGAGATGCTTACTGCGAATAGAATACATGGAATCTTAGATTTAAGTGGCTGACATCCATTTCATTACATACTATGTCCAATCCATTCAAGGGCCCTATTCCCCGACATGAGCATCAACTGAATCCCACCCGACATCAACGCAAGAGAAACTCACCAAGAACTTCAGATGCCCGTCGCTGTTGCCTATCTTCTCCGAAAGCAGAATCCCCTGGAGCCCTCTCGATCCCCCATTCCTCATTTCCAGATCGGCGCACAGTTTAGGTCCGTGCTCGGTGTGCTCGAGGGAGATATTCCTCGCGGTCCGGGTGAAGTTGTTTCCTCCCCAGATGAACCACCCTGATGCTGTTAGACGCTTTCCGACTGAACACGGGAAAGGGGGGGAGGGGAATACCGTCTGTGTTGCCGATGTGGTCATCGAGGCGGATCTTTCGGGTGATCAGCTGGCCATGGCTGTCGCGGACCTTGGCCAGGAGCATGGTGCAGCCATCCTCCTGGCGGATGTGGATGTCTTCACAGGATCGGTGGAATGACATTTTCTGTTGTTGACGGTCTTTGAGAACTTATTGATAAGCGGGATATTGGAAGCTGAATCCCGGCGAGGCTCAAGACGTCTTTATATACGTATGATCCACCCCTCCTGTCCGTTGAGGCATTGCTGCCCTACAGGGTCTAAGGTCTATTCATGACGACGGACTAGCATGCAAGATGACATAGCAAGTGGATCGTGGCCGCACTCATTGGGAAGTGAGTCTGTAGATGGTGGGGCGCAGGACTCTAGCGGTGAGGGTTTATCCTGCAGGCAGCAGTCATTGGCCGGCTGGTTCGAGATCTGTCGCTTCCTCCTACGCAGAGTATGCTGGTGTGGTCTGGAGGAGACTACATTCGTCAGTCATCCATATGTCGAGTCCATACTCATACTGTGGATAGAATAGACTGTAAAATGTTACACAGGATCTGCAGTGCCACTCCAGTGTGGCGGTGCTCTCGTTGAGAACTCAGCATTGCTGAAAGATCAACCGGCCCGAGGTATCAGTGGGTCTGTAGCTATTCCTGGAAGTGTGTGTTGGAGGCTTTGCAATGATCACCGCCACTTCTCAAATACTCAGACTCGATCGCTTCATGGGGTTATAGAGTTGCTGTGTGGGAGTTGCATGTGCGACCGTGGCTACCGTTGAATTCAATGCCATGTTCTTATCTACACTGCTTGCCTCATGGATATCACCATGATCATTGCTCGTTCCTGTAATGGTATAGGTACTCTCCGATCCTGGACGAATATATAGCATGGCTAGTGATCTTGGAAAGAGCATGCTTAGTGTCATTACACAAATTGCCTAGTTGAGATATGTCTTCCACTAACTGAACTCTTCACCGGCTTTTCCTGTGGCCTTGCAGACAACATCCGCATATTACATCTTAAGTTGTGTCTTTCTAGAACAGTGTAGTGCGATTCTATCGGGACATCGTGCTCCCAATTAAATGTCAATTGACTAGGGAGGTCGACTTGACCGCGTGTTTGGGGAGGCTCCTGTGATCAGGACACTGGTAAAAGAGAGAGCATTTGGGTTGAGAGGAGGAAGTAGATTCCGCTGAGCCTTCTTCCCCTTGAGTATAGCATGCAAAGCAGAAAGATATCTACCTGCCGAGTCCGGATTCGGACCATGTGTCTCAGAGGCGACTCCATGAGAGATCTAGACTCAGCGATATATGGACAACAATCCTCAGTTCTAGTTCTAATACAACATCTAAGATTTTGTCTATGTACAACATCGACCATCCAACAAGGAACACTAGGGTATCTCTATGATACTTCAAGTCTATCAGTCTATCCACTCAAAAGTCTATGTTTGCTCCTCCAACGTTCATCACTATCGAATTAATTCCCCTCGTCGGCCTTCACAAAGTGCAGCACACCCGGCTGCGACGCATGCCCCTTGGTAGAGACATAAATGCACTTCCGGAACGTCGAGACCAAGGAACCGAGAAAACTCTGGTCCTTCTCCTCGTGGTACTGCGCCCCGAGCAAGGGCTGGATGGCCCAGGTCGCCTCCTCGGCCTTGTAGAAGGGGATCCGGCTGAAGAGGTGGTGCACGACGTGGTAGTCGATGATCTCGTGGAAGAAATGGCGGCCGATGAAGCCCATCGTGCGGTCGACGGTGGCGAGGGCGCCCTTGGTGTAGGTCCAGGCTTCGGGGGTGTAGTGTGGGACGGAGGGGTGGGTGTGTTGGAGGTATGTAATGGCGACTATTTACATTAGAACCATACTCAAGCTGCATTGAAGGAAAGGACATACTCAGCCAGTGGTGGACCCACAGGTAAGGGACGAAGTAGAGCAGGACGACGTTCCAAGCCCCGACCCGCGTGCTGGCGTAGTACAGCACCGCGGCCATGATCAGCAGACCCAGATCGGAGATGGCGATGTAGATCCGCTGCGAGGGACTCCACAGCGCCCCAACGGGGTTGAAGTGGCTCGCCGGTCCGGTCTTGGGCTTGCCGTCGGGCCAGCTCTGCGCGCCGGCCGTGGCATTGGTGAACAGGTACAGCTGCCAGCCGCCGAGCTGGTGACCGATCAGCTGGAGGAATGAGACGATGGGGGTCTCCTCGGCGAGGTGCTTCAGCTGCTCGATGCGCACGTTCTTCTTCTGCGCGAGCTGCTCGTCCGTCCACGGCACGAAGACGGTGTCCTTCTCCATGTGGCCGGTGTACCGGTGGTGACGGGCGTGGGTGATCTTCCAGGAGAAGTAAGGGACGAGCAGGAAGGAGTGGGTGGCCCAGCCGATGAAGTCGTTGATGCCCTGGTAGCGAGAGAAAGCCCCGTGGCCGCATTCGTGGGCCAGAATCCACATCCCTGTTCCGACGCAGCCCTGGAAGAAGCCGTATGTGGCCCACGCGAGGGCGCGGAGCGGTAACGAGGGGAGGAGATGGATGTGGAAGGCGCCGTAGGTCAGGATGGCGCAGTAGAGGATATCACGGGCGAGGTAGAGGAGGGAGGTGACGAGTGATGACTCGAAGCATTCTTTGGGGATGGCATCTTTGAGCGATTTCAGACTAGGAGTGTTGTCTTGGACAACCTGGGGATATGTGAGCGTGCTTCTCTGGTTCATATTGCATAGAACATACCTCTGTCTCTGTCTGCACAGCTCTTTTGCGAACCTCAGCCATTTTCCCGACTGTCCTTCAACCGAAACCGAGCAATTGGCAGAAATGAAGGTGGAAAAAAGTAGAAAAGAGGGGGGAAAAAATTAAAAAAAAAAAAAATAAAATAAAATAAAAAGGCCAGCAAGCCATTCCCTATCATACGATAGCTAAGCACATGGCACCCGAAATCGCAGGCATATCAATTGGCCCATCTCCTTTCCACCGACTGTTTCCAGAAAAGCGGTCCCTGAATCTGTCAAACGAACTCAAGTGGATCATTTTGAAGACTCGGGCCAGTCAGACAGCAGCAATATCCATGTGCCTGAGGTCCTTTTTTTAGCGGACTGTTGAATCCATCGATGCCCAGCCGTTGAGAGACCCAAGTACTCAACATAAGGAGAGGGCTATGCTTTGTTAGGAAAATGGGATCCAGCGTTGAGGGAGGAGAGGAAGTCCTGTAACATCTTTGGACAGTTTGATATATAGTCTATGGAATCGAGATCTGACGACATGATATGGTTTATTCAGTTACAATTGACATGCTGCACTGCACTGCATACATGATTTGACGGGATTCTCTTCAAAATGTTGTTGATTTTCACATGGAAAAATTCGAAATTTTATTACTGGATCAGGAATAGCGGATTCGTGTTCTACACGCTAAATTTAGCTCCAAACTAAATTGGGGATGCCTCGGTCATGTGATTCAGTTGCTCACCTCCTTTTCCATTGTCCAATTAAAATCATCCTTTTTTTCGCAGAAGATGAGATTAATTATGCTTCACTCAGCTGTGAATTTGCACCAGTGCTCGAGTCCACAATTGACTGACTACCGTTACTTTAGTGACATTTGGATCTTAGTATCGATGGTGTCGACTGTCGAGAGATCAAACAACCCAAGCCATACTTTGTCCAGTTAGAGCATTCAGGCCTCGCCCCCAAATCCCTTTACTTCTCGTCCTCTTTTCAATGAGAGAGTCAGATTAAGAGTTGTTCCCCTCTACTCCGTATTCCCATAATGAATTCTGATGTTGCTCATGAGATTGACGCATGCTCTCTGCAAAATCCAAATAACTTGTTATAGCTTGAAAGAGAATTGTAGTTCTGAAATCCTGCGAAGTTGTGCTTGCTAACAACAGTCTCACTAGTCACCCAAACCCAAGCCAGGATTGAGACAGGAATCTTATATGATCATCCGCGGCCAACGGAGCCAGCTCACCACAGGAGTCACTATTTCAACTTTGGCCTCGTAAGAGGGAATAAACCCGGATTTCATTACTCTGCTCAATCCCAATGACCCTTTGTTGGCAATTCTATAGTCATTGAAGCAGCGGTAAAGGCCTAGGTAGATTCCGATTAGAACCGGTAGGACTGCCTTGTTTTCCGAGGAACTGATATGTAACTTCTCAGCTAAAGCATGTCAACTATCTTTAACGCTGCGCATTTCCCGAGTAAGGGCATGGCAGAAATAGCTCGCAGTTATTAAATGTTGGGTCATTAGGGGATATCCCCGCTGTGAAAGTACGCGGTGCCTGGTGTAGTATGGTGCCTCTGTCCGGAGTAATCCAGGAAGGATATTCTTGACTCCCGAAAGCTGATGCTGGTGAAGACACAATGTTCTGATGTTGTGCCCTAAAGCCATGTTGGGCCTTGCCTCTCAGTATCCCTGATCTGCGAAGTACCGAGATCGTGGTATTGGGCCATCGCCGGATAAAAAGCTAGGATTAAGTTAGCCTCCGAAGCCAGCAGTGACTGAATGCAATTGATTGTGGAAATCTTCTGTTCGTCCACGAAGACACTAGAGCCTGACTCTGTGAACAGCATTCCGAACCCCAGTTGTTGAGAAAGGCCGGCAACAAGGTCTCAGAGACGACCGGATCGACGACTGCATCTTCGGCGCTGAAAATTATGTATTCTGGATGAGGAACGATGTCAATTTCTAGCTGACAACGAGGTGACGATGTCCATCGGAGTGTTGGCCATGAGAGCATCCACCAGGAGCAGGGATTCAACCGGCTGACCGTTGGTCATTGGGCCGCTGGCCTATAGACGAGAAGTTGCACGTATGAGCTGGAGATACCACAGGAGATGCAATCCTAGAGAAATTTTTGAGCTTACACCACTGACGATGAAGTATGCCTGTCTGACACGGCTCGATAATGACGTCCTGAACGACCAGCACAGATCGTAATTCTAGGATACGATGTGCCTTCAAATGTTGGGAGGGAGGACAGGATCATCACGTGCAATCTTGCAATTCAAGCTCAGGCTATTCATAAACATGCTATGTACCTTCCAACCCGCATACGTATATCTAGCCCGCCGCGTATGGGCTGCGCTTGCGCAGAATCTCTCCATACTTCCAGAGGATTATAGGTGCCGGTATGCCCAGACCGATAGAAACAAAGGCCAATAAACTGTTGCCCCATCCGTAGTGCAGGGCGTTATACATATATGGCGCAAATAGCGGAAAGGCGAAACCACACAAGCAACGTAAGAAAGCCACCGCGGCTAAAGCGCTGGCAGCGAATCTCGCGTATGTATCCACCATGTAGGTCTGGATGCACTGAAAGGCGATGATGTTCCCAGCACCAAAGAGACAGGCACCAATGTTAGGAGCGATCCAGTGGCGACGAAATTGAGCGGTCCAGCCATAGATAAATAGACCAACTGGGGTGAGGAAAGCGCCCACAATAAGGAGAGGTACTCGGAATTCGGGTCTGCCGACATTGTTGTTACGGGCTTTGAGCCGACGATAAATGCGGTCATTCATTGGAGCGCATATCTGAGACCCCAACCAGAAACCCAAGCCGAGGGAGATATAGTTCAGACCACCAATGCCCGTAGATTCGTTGTAGACATCGGTCCACAGAGAGCTGAAGGTCGAAAGGACAAGGTACATCGTGCCATAGATGAAGGCCATGTACAAGGCCAGGACTTGAACGATCGGTTGCGTGGACAAGAGGCGGAACGGCCGCACGAGCGCAGTCTGCATCGTTTGAGAAAGGGTTTTGTTCTGTCGCTCGGTTTCAGTCTGATACGCCGCATCACCCGTCTCCTTTCGGATCCGCTCCGCTCTCCATTTCAGAATCTTGGGTGCGTATGTTTCACGGAGGAAGAATAGCCCCGCAAATTGGATGACTCCATCTGCAATGGAGGTGGCATAGAAGACCCACCGCCAGGTGGTGTCTTGAGAGATGAAGCCACCGACTATAGGGCCGACAGCTGGACCAAGAAGCGGAGCAAGGCTGTAGATTGCAACACTTTTTCCGCGCTCTTCTGGTTTAAAACAGTCAGAAAGCACACCTCCACCAACCTAAAGATTGTTAGTCACTTTGCTGGAAGGCTCGCTTGGCAAAGAAGGACTCACAGCCAACGGAGCACTGCCACCCAGGCCAGACAGGAATCGAAAAGCGATCATCTGCCCCTTAGTTCTCGAGACACCGCATGCGATGTTGAACACGAGATAGAACAGGTTGGCCAATTGCAGAACAATGACTCTTCCGTAGATCTCAGAAAGCGGCCCCAGGAACAGAGGCCCGACGGCATAGGCCAACACGAAAATGGACAAAGTAAGTTGGGAAGAGACCTGGTCTTCGATATGAAACTCGCTTGCAATCGATGGCAACGCAGGTGCAACCATGGATGAAGATACCGGGGAGATGAAAGTGAAAAGAGAGACCGTGATGATAGCAGCCCATTTCTTCTTGTTTGACCAATTCTTAGGGTTCTCAGGGTCATCGGGGCCATCCCACGTTACCTGCGATCGCGTTATTATGGCCCTTGGACAAAATATTACTCGAGATTACGGCTTGGAGCTTACCAGTTTAGAATCCCGCCGTGATCTATCAGACCTGGCCGTTCGTGACTTTTCCAGCGCACTTTGATCGCGAGTAGCCGCTTCCAAATCAGTGTCGCGTTCGTTCAAGATTCCTCCTCTAACTTCAAGCACAGGGGCTCCGTGCTTCTCGGCATCATCCTCTGCAGATGAATCTACTGCATTGGCTTCAGGAGCATCGTCGTTGCTATGGTAGACGGACTGATCATCCAGATGTCTGCCTGAGTACACTCTGTCGAGATCCGATCTCCTGGGTCTAGACTCCGATCTTGTCCTCGTTATAGATAGGAGTCTCAAACTTCGCGATCGTTGCGACTCCGTTGATTCTGTCCGTGACAGGTGCGGACTGTCACTTGTGCTGTTTAGCGACGTTGATCGCGATCTGTTATGCCCACTCTCTTTTACTCCATCTTCTTGAGTCATGGCCAATCACTTTGTAAAACGATCACGCGACTCTTGTAAATAGAGAGTACTTCCGTGATACCAAAATTCCGGTAGAAGTAGACGAGAAAAACGATAAATCAGGTACGATTATATCAACATGGCCACCGCAAAAGCCCTCAGGCGGACGCAAGCAGAGACAGAGCAGGTTTTGTATGGCAATCCCACCTGCAAGAAAACGACTGCGGCGATAAAAAGATGCTTAACGCCGACAAGTGGAGAGAGGCCATGGAGCATTTTTCATAGATAGCGACCGTCATTGGAGAAGAGAAAGCTTGACACGCCAGGTTTCGCTGGATATCATCTCCACCGTCGGCGGGGACCCAGTGGTCGCTTTCCATGAGCGCTGTGAGCGGCCTGAGCCGTCATCGCTTTCCAGTCGGGCCAGTCAAGTGCCGTTGAGACTGACGAAAACGTTGCAGTGGCGGCCAGAAACAGGAGGAGAGATCGGATCTTCGGCATGACGGTCACGTGTAGTGACTAATATTGCGCGTTGACTGGTCACGTGCTGTCTTTTGCTAAGAATATCTCAAGGCCAGCGTCGCTCATGCAGAATGTGCTGCGCTTTTGTACAAACCAGGCTTTCTCTGTGATTGTAGCCCAATGGACGAATGAGGTATGAAACATGTTTCTACATTCTCATTGTCTGCAACCGCAAAATCAATGCGTCAAAGAAATGGAATCCTCGCTTGGTATATATGAATGCATTTATTTATCGATACATGACATGGTTTTAGACAGTCCTCACGCACCTCTCCAGGTACTCCTCTACACGCTTTACATCATCCAACGCTGCCACCATGCCAACATATCCATCAGGTCGAACGACAGCCAAAGCACCCCTTGTCTCGTCTACGCCATAGATCTTGTACACATCATCCACCTCGTAACCGCTGTAGAACCGCATCTCCGAGTGTTTCTTGAGCTCACTCGGCACATCATGCCACATGAACATCTTAGGCAAGCGAGGATGGATAACTACTTGCTCAATAATGTTTGGTGGGAAGCGTGGAAGGACAGATGATCCAAGAGCAGTCAATACCTGGGCGGAGACGCCCTTGGGATCCAGAAGGTCGGAAGACGTGAGACACAGAATGCGGAAGCGACCTGTCGACTGGAAGTCTGGAGTATTGTCAGTGTTGCGATGCAAATGAACGGTGTGCAGTAGCCATGTTGAACGTACCATCGTGCAAGTGCCGTCGGTTCCCGTCTGCATGGCGCTTGCATCGAACGTCGAGTAATCTTCTGCCTGGGCGAAGGATACCGGACAGGTAATCTGTCCCGGTAACTGGGTTTTCCGCACCGTCATCCGAAGCCTTGTCTATAGTTAGGCTACCAGGATACTCGATACCACAGCCACTGGTGAATCCATTGCCCGTGCTAAAAACCTCGAGGAACTGATCGTGCGTGAGTACCTCGACGCCGTCCTCTGACGGCCCAATCTTGCCGGAAAACATGGATGAGAACGCACGATCGAACTCGATGAGTTGTTGGGCGATCGTATGGCGCTCAAGGTGGTATGTGTCTACGATAGCATCAGGTTGTCCTGCAACCACCGAACTAGGCGTGAGGCCATGGAGGGAATACACCAGTTTCCAAGCTAGGTTGTACGAATCCATCATTGACACATTCATTCCTTGGCCAGCCTTGACCATCATCATCAGCAAATTATCTTTCAGGGCTTAGGATCGCCACGTACCTTTGGACTATGTGTATGACAAGCTTGAGGCAGATCGGACCATCAGCAAGGTACATCGAAACCGCTCAAGGATCACATACCATCTCCCACAATAAAGACCCTGTTGATTCCCTTCGAGTCTTTGACGGCGAAATTGTCCGTTACTCGCTGACCGATCTGGTACGCAGCCCACCAGTCGACTGCGCCCTCTTCTTTCGGTCGAATGTAGTACGGCTTGAAGGCTTCCGCCGCATGCCGAAAAATTGATTCCTGGTTCACCTGGCTCCTACGCGCGCGTGCATCTCCCTTGGATTGACTGCTAGTCCCATTGACGGGCTTCTGATCCTCTTCAGGAGGTGTCTCTTCAGGTACTTGAACATAGAGACGGGTCAAATAATCACCCGTCGCGATGCGCTCCCGCGGAATGACCATGACAGACCCGGCCGGTGAATGGATGGCACAGCGTCTTCGAAAATCGGGAAAATCAGTGTCGATGACCAGATCAACCACGCCCCAGATATGGTCCATCGACTCGCCGACCAGCTTGAGTCCCATGCAGCGCCGGACGACCGAGTGGGCACCATCCGCGCCTACCAAGTGTTTCGAGCGTATTGTGCGGCGGGTGCCGTCCGTCTCAATCTCGGCGACGACTGGGAAGTCAGCATCGCCCGCCTCGTCAATCTTGACGTCCACAAGCTTGGTGTTCCGCTGTACGCCTCTTTTCGAATACCGAAGCAGATCTGTTTCTAGGATCCGCTCAATGCGACCCTGGTGGATTGTGACTTCATGTTGGAAGCGGGCAGGCACAGCCACATCAGGAACGATAGACGTTCTCTCAATCACCTTCTCCTTGTCAGGCGACGGATTCCAGAACGCAACCTCTTCCATGTGACAGCCATCGGTGAGAATCTCGTCCGCGATCCCGAGAGATTTGAGGACTTCGAGCGTGCGGGGCTGCAGGCCGTCCGCCTGGCCCGATTTGAGCGTGCCTGGTTTCGCGTCTATACAGAGCAGGGAGTCGTCGTTGAGGCCATATCGTGCCAGAAGCAGGTGCAGCATGAGCCCTGCTGGACCCGCGCCGACAACGACGACTTCATATTTCCCAGCTCCCTCATGACGCGTAAATGGCGGAGAAAGGCGGGGAAGTGGAGGGGCGAAGGAAGGCAGAACGCGTAGTTCACGCGACGATGCAGCGTACTCGGTGAACACAGGCATAGAGAAGATCAATTGGAATTGAAACAGAAATGCATTAAAGGTAAAAATGGTGACATGAAAGATTGAGGAGATACTTGTAGACAAGAATGGGTATGGTGATTGCGAACCGGACTAAGCGCAAACAATTAAATAAGTATTAAATTTCCTTTGCAAAGTACCGGATAAACCCCTGTGACAGAAGTCGCGGACAAATTCAATCACGGAGCCGATCATCCAAGATAATGCTGTACCAGGTATCATCATTATTTCTGATATGTATGTTCGGAAATTCCGCGGATGCTTAAAAAGGCGGGGTGGAAAAGGATGGTGCCTTGCACGACAATAGTTATGCCACATCATTGCGGGAGCTGCTGCTGACAAGATGATTACTTGAAGCTCACCAATCGCCCTGATCGACCTCCGATCGGTTTATGTCTTTCTGATCCAGACTCTTGTGATCCACTAACGTTAGACGGTGGATCTCAGTGGGGGACACTCATTCCGATGCTGGACTCACTACGAGTGTCAGATACCACAAACATTACAACGAATGACGGCTTTCAAAGAAGTGTTTTCACACAAACTCTACCAACCGCCTCGCCGGAGGCTCGCAACCCACTAACACATCTAGAATCATCTAAAGCATGCTAGGAACCACACTCGCCTCCTCCCGCGCCATCGCACGCTCTACCTGCTCCCTCGAAGCCCTGGTCCAAGTCTCGCCCTGACCATATTGTCCCCCCCGGCTCTCTTCATCGCCCCAGAAAGCCTTATATTCGTCTTCCCAGAAAAGCAACGCATTCTCCTCATGGAACCCGCACAGGATCACGGCAAAGGGCTCGCCGGAGCAGCATGCACACCCCTCATCTAGTCGAGGAGGGAGATCCACAGACCCGTCTGCCAAACCCTTGTGGAGCTGCTCTTGACTTGATGCGTAGAGTTCTCCGATCACGGAATCGAGGGATACGTGCAGGAGGCGGGTTTTGAAGGATGCGTGTTCGCGGGTACATCGATCGGCGGCACGGAGGTAGAGTCTACCCAGGTCGTCGAGCTTGCCTGTTCCTTCGTAGGTAGGGTGAGTTACGAGGCGTTCGCCTGTTGCGGTGACGCAGGTGGTTAGTTCCGGGAGGAGGTGAGCCAAGTTTTGTATGGTGTCGTGGAGGGGTAAGGAGGAGAGTTCCTCGATGTGGATTTGCAGGGGTGATTGGCCTGAGCCGGTTCCCTCTGTAATCGAGGTTGTATGCATGTTTGCTGTTGAGATGAGTCAAGCGAGCAAGCTCTAATGTACTTGATGTTAGCTTTGATCTCGGTTGTCATTTACCAAAGAATAATGCGAAAGTGTAAAGATCGTGTTAATTATGTATCAGATTTTAGGCATCTATCAGCCCTTCTGCAGTGCTACATTGGGCTCCCCAGTTTGCTGTAGCCTGACTGACTTGAATGAGACACATCGTGCATCACGTGAAGATTATAGACAAATAGACGTACTCCCATTCTACACTTTCCAGAAGACACTGACTTCATTCTCCTTTTCAACGAGAAGTTGAATTTAGCATTCCAAACCCATCGTCAGGTGGTATACGCATTTACCGCTTCGAATCATCTTGTTTCATTGCAGGGGCGCCGAGAGTTCCTGTTTTATAACTTAAAGGGGGTCTCATCGAAGGACAGCCTGGGTAAATATTGCAAGACCTGCGCCTCTTAGACACGCTCAATCCCAACCCATTGGTCAATGACTATCGCAGAGAACATCAATATTGCTGATCGACAGTCTGGATGATCGATTACTCGAGAGTATCCGGAGCATGCTGTGTCCAGCTACTATTCCACAATCAGCAACGCTCAATATCGACACCCAGGAACCTCCGATCGTCTCGACGCCCCTTCAACAGTATTTGGCTACTATTGAGCCGAGACCCCGCATCTACTATGTCCCGTATGTGGGGGAAAAGTTAGTGACAAGGGGGAATCCCGATTGTATTGCGGCCATGGGCCCATAAATGATGCAGTATCGGCGGAATAACGGAATAACGGATATCCACTTATCTGGAAGCTAGGACTTCAAGAGGTCATGGTGGTCTGCTAGGACAGGATGAAGAGATCTTTCTCCTTCTGGAAAAAACGGTTTTTACAACGAATGGATGCATGTCCCCTCCCCACCCCACACTCCATCCTGTTGCTTT